CAGCTCAGTCTGACCTTGAGCTCACTTTGTATCCCAAGCTGGTCTCAAACACACAATGGTCCTCAGGCCTCAGCCTCCCTAGTGCTGGGATTACAGGAGTGCACCACCATGCCCAGCTGTTATTATATATTATTTCTTATAAAAATAGGCAAAGAATATATAAAAGCATTATTAGAAATTATTTATAAAATTAAGAATGACTTTTTCCTCCGTGGTCTGAATAGAGTTTGGTTGTATTCCCCCAAGGATTTGTGTGTTGGGAGTTTGGTCTTCAGTGTGGAGGCTCTGGGAAGTGAGGCTTATTGCAAAGGAATTAGGCCATTGAGGGCACTGGCCTCAGAAAGAATTGATGTAGTTCTCCTGAGACCTGGAGTTGGTTCTCCTGTGAGTGAATCTTTATGAAAGAGTGAGCTTGACAGCCAAGTTGGTGGCACACGTCTGTAATCCCAGCACTTAGGAGGTTGAGGCAGGAGGATCACCTTGACTTTGAGGCCAGCCTGTACTACATAGTCAATTTAAAGCTAACCTGAGCTACAGAGTGAGACCCTGTTTCAAAAAAGAAGGATGAGCCCAACCCCTGAGTTGTGCTCTGCCTTCCATCTTACCCACATCCCCCAACTAGGCTGCACTGGGCCACAAGGCCCTCACTGGAGCCTGCCATGCTGTTTGGGTTCTCAGTCTCCAAGACAATGAACTCAACAAACCTGTTTTCTTTACAAAGTACCCCATCTAAGTATTTTATTGTAACAATGGAAAACAGGCTTTTTTGTTATTCGTTTTTCCTCCAGTTATCACATATTCTTTCTAAGGTAAACATTAACACATGGAAAGATGGTCAATAGGAAAATAGAAACACAAACCACAATGAAATACCAGTCCCACTTACTAGGATGACTGTTATTGAAAAAAGGCAGCTGATAGTAAATATCTGTGAGGACGTATACAAGTGAGAAGTTTTATTTCATACATTGCTAGCACAGCTGCAAAAAGTTATCATATGTCCCCCACACTCCACTCTTAAGTATATATCCAAGAGAAATGACAACTCACATTCACAAAAAATTGTACAGAAGCGCTGATAATAGTATAATAACCAAAATGTGAAAATAACCCCACCTGTCCAACTGATGAATGGACAAAATGTGGTGCTGCATATCCATACACTGAAGCACTATTTAGCTATGGAAACAAGCCATATTGATACTGTACATGATTCAGCATAGAGGGCCCTGGGAAACATCATGCTAAGTGAAAGTAGCCACATAGTGTATGGCTCTATGTATGTGGGGTGTCAGATTCACAAGGGTGGTTGTGGGGGTGATAGGAGTAGGGGTAAGAAGGAGGCAGAGTAGCTGCCTATAGGCATGAAGTTTCTTTTTGGACGGATGGGAAAAAAATATTTTGGTGCTGGGGATTGAATCCAGGGCCTTGTTCATGTTAAGTACACATTGCACCACTGAGCTTCATGCCCAGCTGAGAATATTCAAGAATTAAATATGGGGGTGGTTACCTTATTTGCGAGAATAGGAAGAGGACTGAATTGTATACTCTTATACACACAGAGTAGGGCTTTTCCCCCTGCTGTTAACCCTTTCATACACTGAAGAGCAAGCATCAAGGTCTCTCTACACAGGTGAGACCAAGAGCCCTGAACCCCCTTTCTGTCTCTGAGGACCACAAGAAGTATATCTTGTCATGCACGCATAGGCCATGTCTTTTGATTTTATTCATTTTGCTGTCATGGGGCCTTGATGATCTCGTAGGGACTCTCATCCCAGAATTAACTGACTCTTAGATATAGCAGACAACTCTCTTATGACCGTGCCTTCTGTGTGCAAACCACTCAAGTAGAAACCTGAGCCCCAACGTTATGGTTTATATCTGGATGTCCCCTCAAAACTTTATGTAGTCATAGGGTTTTTTTTTTAGTTATTGTTATTTTTTTTTAGGTGGCTGAGTCTAAGGTGTGTGATTGATTTGTAGTACAATGCTGGGATTAAGGGTGTTGGGATTAAGGGTGGGTGACTGCTGTCAGTCTACTGATTTGATTGGCACTATCCTAATCCTGATACATTGGATACAAGGGACAGAAGAAGGCTGCATCTTTCTCCCTCTCTTGTTGCCTTTGCTCTCTTCTGCTACCATGAACTGTTGCCCATGTGCTGCCCTGCCTTAGAGCCAGCCAATTATGGACTGAAGCCTTTACAAACTGTGAGCCAAATAAGCTTTTCCCTCTTTAAATTTTGGTATTGAGGGGGCCTGGCCCTAGCTCAGAGGGGGCCTGGCCCTAGCTCAGTTCTTTAAGTGGCTGCTTCCACAAAGCTGGCAGCCTCAGGTTGCTGTGGTTTGATTCCCACAACACTCCATCCAGCCAAAAGTACCCTGAAGGCATTCGAGGAGAAAAAAAAAAAATCCTTAAATTTTGGTATTGGATATTCTTTTTTCTTACAGGGGAAAGCGCAAACACAGTTCCCCACGACCACAAATTATGGGGTCAAGTTTCCTGCACTGGGGAAATCACAGGGGTGAGCACAACCAGAGTACAGAGGATGAGCCTCGCCCTGGGAAAACCACCTTTGTGACCATGGTGTCTCCCCTGCCGGGTAAGTACAGGCATTGCGTATTGGAAGGAAGTAACCAAGGCACCCAATCTCTTCTTTCCTTGATCTTTCCCACTGGGACCACTATCCCTCTAAGGGTTAGGGGACAAACACCTAGGGACAGTGAGTATAGGAACTGCTAAAATTATTCCTATTTCTTTTATCTTGGCTGTACTTCTCACAGAAACCACAATATAAACTCTTCTGTACACCATGTCCTACTCTCCCTGCCTCCCAGCTTAACCCTGGGCTCACCATGTAGCCCTACATGAGATTCTTTGTCTTTTGTTTCCAGGGTTCTGTGAGTATAACCAGCTTCTTCCTTCGTGACTTTATCTCTGTGTCTATGTGTCTTACTCAATGTGGTTAGAACAAACTTTGGGTACCCTCAAAACAAGGAATTCCTGAAAAACTGTCAAACCCTGGCCTGACATAAATAACTAGCAGAAAAGATAACTGATATTATCTGAATCTTCCTTTAGGACTCAGGGATCCCAGAGTCAGAAACAGATTTTTCAAAGCCAATTTGTCCACAGACAGCTATCACACATTTCTATTCTATTAGGAGTTACACATAGAAAAGCAGCTCTTGAAGTTCCTAGTGTCCCAGCCACTATAAACACACACACACACACACACACACACACACACCCCAGTTTATCAGTGTGGATATTTATGTGTCTCACCACTTTCTTTGCATAACTATATCTACCTTGGCAATATTAAAACAATCCTTTTTCATTGCCTCCTTTTTGGAACTTGGCTATAATATCATAATTATCGAACACCGCTACATCAAGAAAAGCAAACGTCTGGATCTGTTGAGCATAAAAGTTGTCAGAGTGCTCCCAAGATCTTAGCCGAGAAAGTGCAGATTTTACTCCCAAGGAAAGAGGGAAGAGAAAGCAAGAAACTTCCCTATCATGAGAGAAAGCCAGGCTGGGCTCTGCTTGTGTCTGACTGCTCATGACCCAGTTTTCTGCTACCCTTGGAGAATCCTCCCAGCCTGACCAGATGCACTGAGCAGTAATGAAACCAAACCAAACAAATTCAACCTCCAGACTGGACCAGTCTGTGCCGCCCTTGACTGCCATCTTTCTCTTCTTCACCCTTACTAGATGGATACAAATCAATAGAAGAGACAGTCATCAAGAGTCTCACAGAGCGCTCTCAGCTGGAGGTCATTACCAGTGTTTTGTGTCTTCAGTTTCTTGCCTTTGAAACAGGGGTAGTAGTAAGAACTATTTCAAAGAAATGTTGTGAATATTAGCAAAATAATTAATCTAAAAACTTGACATGTACTGAAGGACTAAGATAATGTCCCAAGCTTACTGAGCTTTGTAAGGAAATTGAGATTGGGTTTTATCTGCATTCTTTGTAAGTAAGTAAGTAAGTAAGTAAGTAAATAAGTAAATAAGGTGCAATCTATTTCAAAGGCCTAGCCCAGTCATACCGCTGTCTTTCTAAATAACGTTTCTCCTTCTAGTTGCATTTGGATTCGCTGCTAATGTGCAATAGTTTCCAATTTCCCTTCAGCCACTCTCCAGAAGTGCAATATTGGTTCTTTGTCTTAGGGATATTTCATTTCCTCAATCATGTTAAATCAAACAAACCTTCCATACCAGCAAACAGAAAGGAGCAGCTCTGGGCCTCTGAACTAATTTGCACTGGCAAAACTGATCAGGCCTTCTCCAGTGTCTTAATTAGGAGTCTTAATCCCTTTGATTTAAAACTAGAGGAAGTACAGGAGATGGTTGAAAACGGAGCATATTTATCTAATATAGACAAATAAGATTTAGAAAGTCCACTTAATATATGGTGTCAACAGAAATACATGTCCCCTTCTTTCTAATAATTCTTCCAGGATGAAGTATAGCTTACATGCAGATTGGAGCCATCACTTTTCATGTTCTCTTTCATTTAAAGAGACAGTTATTTTCAGCCCACTTTGTGTTTCCAGAAATTTGGGGTTGGTTTACTTTAATTTCTCCTGTACCGGAAAGAGAAAGTGACTCAGAGAATATATGCAAACTGCTCACATTGAAGTCTTTTTAAAATGTGATAAATGGGTGGTGGAGAGTGGAAGCTGAATGTGGGAAGAGCGCCAGTGATTATGGACTATCCTCAGTCTTGGATAGGTCTGTCAGGAAAGACGCCAGCATGCATTTGACAGAGGACTTGTGCTTGCACACGAAGTGAGGAGGGTCAGGTTGAGGTGCACAGACACGGCCCTTCCAAGGCTGTGGTGACACGTGTGGCCAGCACTATAATAAAAATGTGAAGTAGAATCCAAAAGTAACCAAAGATGCATAAAATACTCTTTAGTATATGAAATAATGAATGTACATAGTGGTTTTATATTTAAAACTCGCTGTTGTATCTTTTACTACATTTATTCTGATAGCACTCCTATAAAGTTGGCAGGCCATGTTTTTCTTTTATGGAAAACAAAATGAAGGAAAACTGGCAGGAAGAAAGCTAAGTAAACTGGCCGGGGAGACAGAGAGGCTGGGATGGCTTTGGTCTCAACTGTCAGACTCTGTCTGACTCTGTCAGACTCTGGACGGATTTGGAAGGAGCACGTTGCCTCAATGTGTGTACCTGGGAACTTCTGAAAGGCCATGACGTGATGTTGAGAAAAGTAACCCTTTGAAATATCTTAAACTCTGTTCCCTGAAGTTTTGTTTATAGCTTTCAGTTGCCCCAGTAGCCTTTAGCTAGAGATCTGCTTGAGGAAAGACAAACTCAATCTCTCGCATCCCCTTCAAAAGATCAGTGATGCTGAAGTAAGGGAAACCTAGGCTATACAATTTAATTGTTTACCGCTCCTTGGTATATGACCATTAAATACAATCTAAATCCTGGTATTCCACAATTATCCAGTAAGCGGGGCATTTTTGTCTCCTCAAAGTGCTGTTTAGTTCTGCATCAGGTGGCTAAACACAGGAGAATAAAGAGCCTTATGTAAGTGTAGCTAATATCGCCCCTGGAGAAATGGAAGGGTTTAGATAATAGCAAGCCCATTCCCCAAAGATACAGTTGATTAGTCTACTGCAGACCCCAGTCACAGGGAGAGACAAGCCACATAAGCATATGAAACAATTACAGATTAGCACACCCAGCCGGCTGTCAGCATAGAAAACTGCAAACATCACTGAATAATTATGGTTGGAGCTATTGACTGGGGCCACAGAAGAGCTTCATCCAAATGCTTTTAATTTGCCAAACAGTGGGAAGTGAGCTGCAGAGAGGTTGCTCCCAACAATGGCATTTTTCGCTCTGCTTAATCAAGAGGAGAGCTTAATAAGGCGATGGAGATTGTTTTACATCTTGCCAAATAAAATGAATGGCCATTTGAGAGGTGGTGGATGAGCGATGAAACACTTGTCATAAACGGCTTATGACAAGTGGTCTGGGATGGCTTTGGGTCCTTTGACAGACCCTAGTCTAGTACAGAACCCAAGACCCTTGCTGGTCAGAAGCTTTATGCCAAGCTTGCCTGACAGATGGAGGAACTGAGGCTGAGTTACCAGGTGGAGGTGGAGGAGACCCTTCACCACCCACCACATCCTCATGATGTTCCTTTGTCTTTCCAAATCCTGGAAGCCTGCACTTAATGAAGTGACATTCTTACTCAACTAGAAATGGTGAATGACTTTTAAGGACATTATTATTAATAAAGCCCATGGTTTACTTATATGGCTATAGTTCAACCTCGTGTCCAAGATACTACTATTATATTTGTTCATAGATCCCTAGGCTCCTGTTGGCTGGAAGATTTGGAGAATATGGTTAGGTAAATCATAGGATGCTGCTGAGATTGTTCTGGATTTTCTCAGGATTAGACAAATGAAAAGCACAAGCTAAAGTTGGCATAACTAAGCTGAAGAGGCATGCTTAGCCATGCTAGCAAACATGTGCAATAATTCCCACATCCCCAAACATGGTCCTCCCACCAGCATCTTTCAGAATGCCCAGCACTGGTCTTCACTGTACTTATGGTCTAAGATTTTGACGGCTAAAGGGAGTGATGGAAAGATACAATGTCTTTTGTACTGCCATCATTCCTATTATCCTCACATACCTCTACATTAATCTAATTTTAAGTTTTCAGAACATAATAATCAACTTTCAATCAAAACACTGTGAAATCTCTGTTGACAAGATTGTCTTCACTCTTGTTTCAACTGCTCCCTGGATGACTCTACAGGTCCACCTTGGCCATCATCACTAGACGCTGGTGCTAGTGAGGTTTTTGGATTCATACAAATTCTTCTTAGCAATTGCAATACACCAGGCTTCTAAGATGGCTGCAATTGTTCATACCCAGAAAGAATAGCTGATGGTTTTCAAAAACTGTCAGATAGTCTGTAAGATGAAATACTTATCTTAAAACAAATAGAAAATTGCATTGAACAGGAGTTGCTTAGCCCAAAAAAGAAATGGCTAATTATGATCTGCTGGGATTATGGAAGATTGAGAAGAGTCACACAAACTTGGTTCTAGTCTTGATTCTGCTGCAAGTTAGCTATTTGATCATGGGCAAGTTGCTTTACCTATCTGTGCTTTGATTTTCCAACTGGAAAATGAATGAAATAATGCTCACCTGACATGGCTGCGGGAGGTAATGTATGGAAGGTGCTTGGCACAGTTTGTGGCACAGACTAGATCCTTCCATGAAACTCAGTTACCATTCCATTTATTATAAAATCTTTACAAAGATACAAAGAACACACTTCGTATTTTTATAATTCTTCACAGCTGAGAGAGCACTTTCTCAGTTTAGGGTGATAAACTATCATCCTGGCCCTTCACATCCTAAATAAAAGGAAGTAGGTTTTGGTCTCAGTAAGAGTGATGGTGATTGGGCTTGGACAGAGGACATTTTTGGCCTTGGAGATCATGAAGCTCCGAGTTAAGGCTGTGCCCTGAGGCTGTTGACTCTGCCGCTGACCTTGCTGCCACTCAGTTGGATCAAAATCTGAGGGTGACTGGGATAGTGTTGTGGAGT